CGAATTCGATTGACATAGATCAGATCGATTTATGTTCAATTTAAGTGAACTTCTTCTGATCTAGATCATTTTTTTGTTGATGAGGGTGCACTGAACCAGCCTCAATCGAACGCAGTGTGGTTCACTTAAATTGAACCAGATTGATCTAATCCGGTCAATCGAATTCGGCTATAGAGGAAAGTGATATAGGCTATTTTTTATCCCGAAAAAAAAGTTCAGTTGGGCGAAAGTTTGATACACTAGAACGCCTATAAACAGCCCGGGGCGCTCTAGAGCAGCTCTGGAGTACTCAAAATGCGTCACTGAACTCACTGGCAAGCGACTCTGGTATCGGATAAAAAAAAAAATTTAGAAAATCAACAAAAAAATTTGAGAAAAAGCGTATTATTTCAAAATGTATTTTCACGCTGGCAACGCAGCGGGTCAGCTAGTTAAAAAAATAAAAATAAGTCAGGTTTTTGCCCCCTCCCCCCCCCCCCCCTGACAAATGTTCTATGGACGCCCTTGACAAGACCATTACATGACGTAACAAAGAAGAACATAGGGTTCCAATGGGGGACAAACCAGGAGGAAGCTTTTAATACTCTTGAGAAAAAACTTATATCAGCACCAGTCACCAGTACTAAAGCACTTCGACCCAAATAGAAATACTATTCTACAGACAGATGCAGCAACATGGGGCAGTGCTATTGAAAGAGGACGTTGAACGAGATGCACACCCAATAGCCTATATAACTCGAACTCTATCAAATAGCGAGAAAAATTATTTAATGAGCGAGTTAGAGCTATTAGGTGTAGTATGGGCCCTAAGCTATCTAGGACATTTAATCTAAGGTAGACCAGTGAAAATTATAACAGACCCCTAAGCACTATGCTGGATGGATTCTATCGAGCAACAGACGTCTAGCCAGATGGGCATTGAAGTTGGCAGAGTTCGAGTACACGGTTGAATACAAAAAAGGCTCAACCCACAAAGATGCTGATTGCATGTCCCGCAACCCGTCTTGCAACCCGGTTCACAGAAAAGTGAGGAACAAGAGGAACTCTACCGGAACACTACCAACATTTGCGATAAGAACAATGGAAATTAGTTCATTACAGAAAAGAGACGCTGAGTTGAGACAGATCAGGAAGGCAGTAGAAAACCCGGACGATTCAAAAATTAACATGCTAGGAGAAGAGCGAAAAATTTTAGAATCAATAATGATCTACTATACAAAGTAAACAAAACACAAAAAAGCCTCAGCAATGTAGTTGTGGTACCAAAATCCACGAGGGAGGAGATTCTATGAGAACTGCACGCGTCACCGATATACGGCCACTTAGGGTTGAGGAAAACAACAGACAAAATACAGAACAAGTTCTTCTGGGACGGAATGCTAAAAGTCATCGAGAAATACGTTAAAGGGTGTCCAGATTGACAGGCGAGAAAAGGTCAATCATACAGAAAGACCCCGGGCCTCTTACAACCAATACAAGTAAGCACGATTTTTGACAAAATTGACATTGATTTACTAGGTCCGTTCAGAAGAAGCAACCAAGGAAAAACAATGATAGTAGTAGTCACAGACTATGCATAAAGATACGCCATCACAGCAGCACTGCCTTTTGGAAAAGCAGGACCAGTAGCAAAATTTTTTACTAGAGAAAGTATTTCTAATACACGGGATGCCACGACACGTACTGAGTGATAGAGGAAGAGTCTTCCAGTCAGAGCTAGTGCGGGAAATAGGAAATATATTGGGAGTAAGGATACAGTTTACGACAACATATCACCCATGAATAAGACTATAGCAGATATATTATCGATGTATTGCAACACACAACAGATGGACTGGTGCAGTTACCTACCATTTATTACATTTGCATACAACACAGCCACACAGGACACAACTCGATTCAGTCCGTTTATGCTTACTTTCGTAAGAGATCCCATACTACTTGCGGAGGCAACTCTTATGAACGCTGAGTAAGGAAGAAACTCACTCCAGATCAGGGAAAAGGCACTCTCCAAAAAAAAATTACCTACTACGCTCATGTTTTTTTTTGGGCTGCCTCCCTTAAAATAAAAGTCACGGGCCGCCACTGATAAGGTTCTCAAGTTTGGAATTGGAAGCAAAAACAAGAAAAGAGATACGCAGCCGTATTCTGTAACTTGCAACCGCAGAGAATTGCGCAATAGTCGCTGTCAAATTGTTGTCAAACGTGAGTTTTCTATTCAAAAAAAGCAACTTGCGACCGGTTGCTGGTTGCTATGTAATTGCTGTTCGTAGAGAATAGGCCTGACGGTCAACGTGAGTAGGATGTGAATTACAACTACCCGTGGACAGAAGGCGCTCCTTTGGAAGGAGTCAATGGAGATTTAGAAGATGAGATAAATATGGAACACAGTGCTTCGGAAGTAAAATCCGATAGTGATGAAGAAACAAGTTACGAGAACATTGAGAAGCAGAGGTAGCAGCAGAGTCCGAAGTCATTATTATGTTCCCGATAAACAGAATCAACAACGGACTACAGCGATCGCATAACTATCAGAAGGAAGAAATATGTATACAGGGTGTCCCAGAATATGTGGGCAATCTCTCGGTTTCAGATAGAATACAAAAAAATAACATGATAACTTCCCATAAAAAAAAATTCTTACAGCCCCCCCTACGAAGTTACGTGCCCCTAAAGGACGCCACTGAAAATGGGGTTTTTGTTGATAACTTTCAAAATACTTCGTGAAATTTTTTTTTCTTTTAATATGATGGATACTCGATAAGACCCCTTAAAATGGACCCTCTCAAACACACTTGGCCAATCTAGTTTGCCAGGGACGGACTAGCTTTAACACAATAATGCTAATTTTTTTCACACCCTGTATGATATAGGCATAGCAATAATATTTTTAGATAGTTCCAACCTTGAACTAGAAAAAAGGTACTCTTATTCGATGTCGAAAAAATAAGCTGGTTTCGGGAAAAATCTGTTTTTGTGTATTATTGGTTTTTTATTAAATAATTTTTTATGTCGACTCAACATGAGATCCTTCTAATCTTATGCATTCCATACCCATTTTAATGAAAGATTGTTCGACTCTCGATAATGCTTCAATATTAGCCCTCATTCCGCGACAGTGAAAATTAATCCTTTCTACTAATATTTCCTCAGTGTCATTATTGCGTTAAAGCTAGTCCGTCCCTGGCAAACTAGATTGGTCAAGTGTGTTTGAGAGAGTCCATTTTAAGGGGTCTTATCGAGTACCTATCCATCATATTAAAAGAAAAAAAAATTACACGAAGTATTTTGAAAGTTATCAACAAAAAACCGATTTTCAGAGGCGTCCTTTAGGGGCACGTAACATCGTAGGGGGGGCCGTAGGAATTTTTTTTTATTGGAAGTTGTCATGCTATTTTTTTGTGTTCTATCTGAATCCAAGAGATTGCCCACATATTCTGGGACACCCTGTATATGGACAATAATTAGGGACTGCGTACGCAACAAGAAAAAAAAGCACACAGAGGCTAGCCTAGATATAGGTTTGATATAAGATAGTTAAGAAGAAGTAAGATAGAAAGCATAGTTTAGGCGTAAATCGTAAGGAAAGGATAATCAGATTTGGTTTCATTCAGGTGCGGCGTGCGACTTATATCGGCAAGTGAAAGCCAAGAGGTAGAGATTAGCTTGGAAACTTCTACTGATGGAGACAAACAAATTTGTTTAATTTGGTTATTTTATTTTTCATGTAAACAAACATATTCAAGGACCAGCCAGGAACGAACCAAGTCAATGGATATACAACAACCAGAACAGAAAGGTCAACTAGTACCGTGCGATAGCTCTGAAGTAAGTAGGGACTCATGTCTGTATCAATAAACTCATGGCACCACAAACCAGACAACGGATACTTAGACCGTGGGACCGTGCACACCCCACTACCTAGCTGACCAAACCGTCAGGAGAAAGCACTTAAGGACATGGAACCGGGACCTGAGCACTAAGTGGCCATCGATGCAACTGTGAGCGGAACCTATTCCAACCCACATGGTGAAAAAAGATACACAGAACCGGACCCATCCCAAGAAAAACCCCAAGGCTTAAGCAACGAACTTAGATTTTTTCTGAATTCATCGTTTTTGTTGACTGAATAATAATGGACCCGGTGCCATCCCCTAATTTTTATACATACATGTTGTATATATTTTTAGATTTAAGTATTTTTTATAAATGAATTTGTGATGGTGGCTCTTCTATAGCATTGGGATCCAATGCTTTTCAGAGGGGGAGCATACGTCAACAAGCAAGAAAAGCTTATATATGACCCTGTATATGACTGACCGACTTATTGATTGGCGAGTCAGCGATAAACGAATGTAAATAGTGGTCGGCAACCCACGGATAGACAGACTTAAACTAGCGCAATTACCTCTTCTGGGAAAGCTCCTCTGGCCTCAAGTCTCCATCCAGTGCGAATACCTTTTTTGGGAAAGCCCCTCTGAGTGTCTTCAGTCTGTGTGTCTTCCAGTGCAATTACCTCTTTTGGGAAAGCCCCTACGGCACTTTAACGAATCGCACCTATCGTAGCTTTGTGTTTCTCAGGTAGCTCCCCTGTACCCCTATAGAAGAGGCACTATGTCCCATAGGGCCAACCTTTGGTAATTACTATTATAACCTTTACTCTACAATAAACCCTAAACTAAATACCAAGCGAGTCTCTATTCTCCTGACCCTACGCCACGTACCCCGTTACGACAGGATAAAGTTGTGACAATATTGAAAAGTTCAAATTGAAATAATGGATAATTAATTGAAGAATTTGCCAGTCTTGACTCAAACCATCAATACAATAAGTTCCCGAAAATAGATTTCCAAATCTCCACTTATGAGCACACTTATGACTTCACGAGGTTCCTGAACCTGAAGTAGAACTCATAAATTAGGCACTGAAAAGACATTAGAAGGAAAACTAATGTAATTAAATTGTGGGGACCAAGTGACTAAAGCAGAATGCTACACATGGTTTATTAGTATTTATTTTAATTTTCTAACAATTCATAATTAGTTCACTGTTTAAATAACAATTGCATGCTTATAATAACGAAACTACAAGTTTTTTTAATTATTGAATTTACCCAAAATCGGACAAGTTTGCTGATTCCTGAAACACCATTCGGGTTGTATCTCGTCCGCCTCAATACCGAGCCTAACCAAACGGTCTCTATGAAGCAACATTCTTTCCTCAGCTTCAGACCAATCGGTAGCTGGCTCTGTCCATAAAGTTTCAGCGAATGCTGCCGATCTGGGCCACAAGCGCGAGTCTAAAGAGCTAGTGCCAGCTTCTTCGGTCCATAAAGCTGTTTCTCCACCAAGAACTTGATTCGATTTATTTACTGAAATTACAAAATTACACACAAATGTAAAACTGAAATGTTGGATTTTTACCCGCAATATTGATTGGCTTGTTATCGTAAATCGTTTGCCAGCCTTTATAGGGTGAACACCAATTGTTTCCGCTAGTAACCCACCCAGCAAATCCACAATCCAAATACAGAGCGTCACTGTTACTTAAAATAATGGAATAATTCTTATTTAACAAAGTCCTGATACTAGAATCGCTGCCAGAACTCCATACTTGAATAATGTAGTCACTTGGAGGCAAAATATCAGTCACATTTTCCTGATTGGTCAAATCACTACTCCATAAAATAATTGGAACATTTTTGCCTGCCTTTTTATGTAGTCTTTTGGCAGCATTCGACTGGAAATAGGGCCAAACTTTAGTGAGAAAACTGGCTGCTTCTAAATCCCATCCTTTCTCAGAAACCATCCAATTGGTAAGATTTGCAGTTGCTTTCCAGCAAGCTAAGTTGATTTCATCTCCTCCCATATGAAACACGTTCGTGCCAAATTGATCGAGCATATCACCATAAAGATCTAAAAAATTGCATTAGAAATTATTTGACATTATTAGCAAATAAATGTACCCTCAAGAATATCATATAGCTGTTCTCTGGACGGATCGAATTGTCCGCAAGGTGGCTCCACACAATATTTGTCCCACGGAGTCCAATCGAAGCAAGTAGTTACCCCAGTCGATTGCCATCCCTCTCCAACGTGAGCCGGCGCATCAAGTTCTGGCACTACTCTTATACCTCTGACTCTAGCATATTCTATTATGTCTCTAACAGTAGCATCAGTGTAAACTTTATTTGGCGAGTAAGCTCCATATTCTGCCAATTCTGGATGAGATTTGGATACGTAAGGAAAACTGGAAGTGTCCGTAAGATGCCAATGGAAAGTATTCAGCTTTGAGGCGGCCATGGCTTTTAGAGTCCGTTTTATTGCTTTTGGTGTGACGTAGTTTCTGCATCAATAAGACAATATTTTGAAATTAGTAGGTATATGGCATCTTCAACATATCAGAAGCTTCCGAAAACTAACCAGGTTTTGTTTCATGCACACATAAGAAGTGAAAATCTATATTTTTCATATATCGTCAATCTAATATACAGGGTGGTTCATCGAATACAGTCCAGCAAGGTTTACGGCTTTATACACGGGGATACGTTTCACTATTAATTTCATCCCTGTAACCTCAACCTCCTACTGCCCTTATTTTTTCATGTGGAAAAGGGGGTGTTGTGATACATCTTTTTAAAGGGTATTACATTTTCTTTAAAATGTGCTTCGTTTTTTAAATCTGAGCTACGCGCCGTCAAGAAATTGCATTTCAAAAATTGTAATTTTTTTTAAGTAGAACTTTACATGTCATCTTATTGAATTTTGGAAATGTCCGCCATTCATCTCCATACACTAGTACAACTGTGCAAAGTGTTCTCGGATATTGTGAAGAACTGTCAACTGGTGTTATTTGTTGGCACTCATTAGTAATGCGGTTCCGTAAATCTTCTAAGATCTTCTATCTAATCTTGTAATTTTTTTAAAACGCAATTTCTCGGCGGCGCGTAGCTTGAATTATAAAAAACGAAGCGTCGTCTTAAAGAGAATTCATTGCCCTTTGAAAAGATGTATCACAACATACCCTTTCGCATTTGAAAAAATAAGGGCAGTAGACACCCCCGCTAGGGGGTTGAGGTTACAGTGATGAAACTACTAGTGAAACATGTCCCCCTGAAAACAAGAGTTTACGGGTCCGAGGATGTTTTAAAATTTTTACGTAGAAAGCAGTAAATCTTGCTGGACTGTTCTCGATGGGCCATCCTCTATAAGTTGGTTAGTTTCGGTTAGCTCCTGACATTGATGGAAAGCCTTGAATAATCATCTACCTTGCAGTATCCAACATAATTCCTCTCCAACCATAAACTGGCCCATCCGCAACAGAAATATTTGCAGGAAACAAAACTCTGCCTCTTAAATCGTCATAAATCACTAATTGGCTCAAAGTTTCCAATCCGTGCCTGGCACCAAAAAAAGTTTTAGCTCTGATAGTAACATTGATGATATTTCCAGAAGACGTTTCTATAGTATAGGTTTCAACAGTTCCCAAACCTATGTCTTTAGTACTTTGATCAGTAATTTGAAAATTGATTTGTACTGATGCTAAATTTGAATTTTTTGCCTGTAAAACTGCAGAACAGCCAACTAAACTTTTAATTTCGCTCGTGAAAATGTGAAATGCCTTTTCCACTGAGTTGCTTATATTTGTATCTTGATTGGTAGTGAAAGAAAATTTTTGAATATTTATTTCGGTTAAGTTGGCAACTGATATGCTTCCAGTAGGCATTGGCCAAACTCCTGCATGGTTCAAACAAAGTAAATTGCATTCAGCAAAACTTAAAAGAGACGTTGTATTTTCTGTGGTAAGGGTTTTTCGACAGAAGCCTTCTGTGCATTGATAATGCCATTTTGAAGAACTGAAAAAGATTGCGCAAAATTATTCGAGGATATCATGAAAGGCATGTTATCGATACCTATCCATTTCGGTTGAGAAAATTTATTGCTAATATATGTACCCGGAGCTCATAAACTAGGAAATGTGAAGGGGAATGAAAATTGGGTGAATAGATTTGGGGGAGGGCAAGCTTCCAGAAAGCAATATCTGTTTTTGATATCAAAAGTGAAGGCACTAACCTGCTAAGATGAATACAACCATTAATCACAGAAAAAATCACAATTATTTTATGAAGCATGTCAACTTGGAAAAACTTTGTCAATTAAATCCTGAAAAAAAATATTACATCAAATGTAAGTATTCGTTTTCTCACGATACTTATATTATTACTGTATGTTGGCGATAAGTAAATTCAATTTAATTGCAACAATAAATAACAATTTATTGTCTCAAATAGGATTATCTAATCGGTAATACCACAAATAAAGCTTGTATCTAAAACTTTTCAAAATGACACGTGTAGAACATGAGCCTAGGATTTTTGTTTCATAATAATTATTACTTGTTAAATAATTATTAACAATTTTAGCAAAAACCAATGGGATGTTTCAGTCAGACAAAAGACTAAGATGATGTATCTCCCGAATCTACTACCTACCTCAAAGTCATACTTCTGGGGGAATTCAATGTTTGTTTATTATTGATCAAGTACAATGGGACCTATCCCGGAGAGCTTTGGTATCTTTGCAATCAGCCATTAAAATATTTAAACATTTTTCGAACATCCCAGACCTCTTATCAAATAATCCAGATTGATGTTCAATCATCTGTAGGAAACCCTGACCATAATAACATAGCAGAGTTCTCAATGAGTTCCACCTTTGCGGAGAAAAATTCGCAGGTCCTCCTCAACCATAGACTTCCATCATCCCTAATGTCTAATTACAAATAAGTCATATTTTCTTCCAAATTTAGAACTTATTATCTTGTAATAAATATATTAATTATTTTCTGATGATTTGATGATGATGATCTATATTTCGACCATCTTATTAATTATTTTCTATTGACCAAGCTAGCCAAGCATTTTTAAAGTCATCGACATCACAAACAGTGGGTCAGTAAAACATATAAGTCAGCACTTCAGTTAATTTATTAGTAAATTACCTTTGTAAATATTTAAAAAAAATTTTTTGTATAAATGGTGTTACCGTTCCTTAGTATTAACTATCAGTCGTTTGTACTCAATCACACCTAACAGTCAACTGCTCACTACAGCGTGTTACTACGAACCCTATCAAGTATTCGACAACAAAGAAGAAGTAGGTGCTCAGGGTGTAATCAGTCATTCTCTGCCACCTTTTCTAGTTACAAGACTTCTCACATCAAGGGAACGATTGTACATTTGGTCCTTCGAGCCGTGAAGACATATTCACACACCTACACATACACACCCTATCGCAAGTGCCTTGTCTGGTGATAGCCCTATCTACTAAAACCAACCTCCTTGTATAGCAAGTGCTTTGTCTGGTTATACATTTCCTCCCTGCTGTAGCAAGTGCCCTGTCTGGTTGCAGCATCCCGACTGATTAGGATTCTCTCAAGCCTGCGCGGTGCCCAAGTATACCTTGGGTGGGAGTGGTTCTTTTCAGTTATCCATTTAATTCCCTAATTTTATTCAATACACTTTCAACCTCAACAAACACACACTTTCGTGCCCTTTGGGGTTAACACTTAGACACAGGTCTAAGGACACACACATATACTGTCGCGCCCTTCGGGGTTAACACTTAGACACCGGTCTAAGCACAAACACTACACAAACAAAGATAACACAATACAATTATACCAATGGACACTATCAACTTATTGGCCAAATCCCAAGAAACATTAGGAAAGGAAATTCAACGCTACCTAGTCAATTTTAAGAAAGACTCTACAAGCACAAAAACCGAGCGATATTATCAAGACAAAATAAATGTGCTCGAGTCAGTCTGGGAAGAGATCGAGAAAAATCATGAGGAAATTGGTAAACTAGAGTGTCATTCTCATGTATACTACACCGATAAGTAGATGGAACAGCTTACCAAAATCTATAATGATGCCATAGCGTACATAATTGGTAAGAAAGAGCAACACAGAAGAAATTCGAATCAATCAACTTAGCCAGATTCTAGACAAAATCATCAATAGTTTGCAGGTTGAGAAATCAATCAGTCGTTATTACCTATTATACAACAAAAGTTCGAAGCATTGGGAGACTATCTCCGAGATATACATTGAGCTACAAGTTCAGGGACGTTCTAAAACAATTAGGAATCCCTAGGAAGAAATCGAGCTCAAATATGAAGATGTTCTGGAAACATTGGAATCCAAAATCCGAGGTCTGGATATTCCGAGTCAAGCACCACAATTATGCAATATCAGTCTTCCTCAGATAAAGTTACCATTTTTCGATGGTCAATATGAAGAATGGGTAACTTTCCGAGAACTCTTCAGGAATGTGGTCCATGAAAACTAAAATCTGACGCAGATTGATAAGATGCAGTACCTCAAAACCCATATTCGAGGAGAAGCCAGCAGACTCATAGAGCGTCTCCAAATTTCAGACATTAAGTATCAGACAGCATGGCAAATCTTAAGTGATCGTTACAGCAACGAAAGACTTGTCATCTCAAAATTAATAGACAGAATCTTGGATATTCCTGCGATTCAGCAGGAATCACCATCAAAAATAAAACAGCTGCATGATATCATCATCGAATGTTTAGAAGCTCTGAAAAACATATAGATTGACACAGCGTCATGGAGTCCAATAATAAGTCGCATAGTAGCTCGGAAATGGGATTCCGAAACAAACAAACTATACGAACAATCATTAAAAGAGCCCCATAAATTACAAGATTTTGTCGAAATAAAAGATTTCTACAGGCAAGATTTCAATCACTAGAAGCCATCTCAGATTCTTCGAACATTTTACCAGTTAATCCCAACAAAATTACGGATGCTAGATGCAAATATTGTTCGCAGTCATCGCATACAATATACAGGGTGTCCGGTAAGTATATGGCATACTCTCGGGAGCATATAGGAGGGGTTAAAATAACCCTACTTTCTTATAAAAAAAAATCCTAAAGTGCCTCATAACGGAGATACAGAGCCCCAAAAGAGTACTTGGCGATCCACATTTTTGTTTCTAACTTTTGAACCGACTTGTATAATTTAATGAAATTTTGATATTTTATGTTGGCCATGAGGACTCATAAAATCATCCTACAGTAGATGTTTCACGTAGTCTGGGAAGTCAGGAACAGACTTGCCCCCATATTCATTGTTCCAAATTTTTGACAGGAGTCATTTTACAGAGCTGAATACTGATTTTTTGAATACTTTGGTCATTTCTCTTCATAAAAGGTGCTCTACATTTGTTTCGATTAAATCAGCCGTTTCCGAAAAAATTAGGTTTTTGTATAACACCTTCAATCCTAGATTTAAAAAAAACAGGTAGAAGTTAACTTATAAAAAGTACCTGAAATCGAACCTTTTTGCCATAAAAAGGTACTTTTCATAAGTCAACTTCTACCTGTTTTTCTTAGTCTAGGATCAACTTGATTATTAAATAAATTTCGAAGGTAAATGATCAAAGGTGTTATACAAAAACCTAATTTTTTCGGAAACGGCTGATTTAATCGAAACAAATGTAGAGAACCTTTTTTGAAGAGAAATGACCAAAGTATTTAAAAAATCAGTATTCAGCTCTGTGAAATGACTCCTGTCAAAAATTTGGCACAATGAATGTGGGGGCAAGTCCGTTCCTGACTTCCCAGACTATATCAAAATTTCATTAAATTATACAAGTCGGTTCAAAAGTTAGAACCAAAAATGTGGATCGCCAAGTACTCTTTTGGGCCTCTGTATCTCCGTTGAGGGGCACTGCGTATTAATTGTATTTATGTGTATGTATATTAAAAATCACCAGGAGATAATCATTCTTATCATCGTGGAAGCCGAAACAAAAAGCAAACTACAAACCATGCTAGCAGAAAAGATGATATGGTGTTGTTAGCTACAGCATTAACAAAAGTGAAAAAACCACAAGGAGACTACGAGAATTTACGAGTCCTAGTAGATCCCGGGTCCCAGTCATCTTTTATCACAGAGGAAGCTGCATGCCTCCTTGCACTACCCAGAAAAAAGATCAGGGTCGAGATATCAGGTCTTGGTGCAAGAGACCCCCATCAGACAGCAAAATGGCAGACAGAAACAACAATCCACCCAAGATTTCCAAGCAACTTCTCGTTAGACATCGTGTTCCTTGTGTTGCCTAAACTCACACAGACGTTACCTGGAAAGCCATCAGATGTCAATATATCTCAGTGGAACAATGACCTTGTGGCGGATCCTACATTTCAGAAGCCTGGTCCGATTGACATTATTTTGGGCGCTAAAGAATACGCTCAGATTTTACTTGAAGGCGTTAGGAAAACGAAGGATGGCATACTGAGACAAAACACCGAATTCGGATGGATATTTTCTGGAAACACTGGAATTAACAAAAATAAAAAACTCCAGGTACTAACAGTGACAACCGGCATTCAAGAAGATATACAGCCCAATTTTGGGAAATAGAGGAAATCTCCCAACCAAGACAAATGACTAAAGATGAGGAGATCTGTGAGGAACCATATGCTCTAAATACAACCAGAGACAAAGATAGTACTTACACTGTGAGAATATTATTCAATGGCAAAGAACAAACTCTGGGAATATCAATACAGAGCGATGCAGCAAGACATACAATTAAAGAAAAAGCTCTCAAGAGACGAGAGACTAAACTTCACCTACAAACAATTTATGCAAGATGACCTAGATCTGGGACATATGAAAATCTGCGATGAAAAAGATACAGAATTTTCAAAATACTATATTCCTCATCACCATGTTTCAAAAGAATGGAGTATAACGACCTAGCTACCAGTAGTCTTTGATGCATCCAGCAAGATTTCTTCTGGGTCCAGCCTGAACGAAACAATGTATACTAGTCCCAAATTACAGCAAGAGCTTTCGGATATTGGTTTACGTTGGAGATCATACAGAATAGTTATCACAGCTGACATTGAGAAAATGTATAGACCAATCAAAATCCATCTAGACAATCAGAAATTTCGAAGAAGTCTGTGTCGGTTGGACAAAAAATATCCAATACAAGAAAACAACCGCAGCTCCATATTTGGCGATCAAAACACTGCAGCAACTAGCCCGTGATAGGCCACAAATTTTCCAAAGGTAGCAAAGGCAGCGCTACACGATTTCTATGTAGATGACCTTCTTTCCGGTACTGATACTATTGAAGAAGCATTGGAACTCCGAGCTGAACTAATCAAAATGTTTCACTTTGGCG